TCTCCTCCTGCGTCCTCTCTTCCTGCCCTTGCTGACCCGGAGTCTGACTCTCTTCGTGCTGCTAGTCCTACTATCACGCGTCTCCTGGCCACTGCTGTCACTAACCCTTCCTTTGAGTCAGCTGCTGCGTCTGCCTTAGTTGCTGAGCTTGTCGACTTTGCTGCTCACTGTCGTCTAGACTACGCTGCCAGTCTTGTTGCTGAGTCTGAGTCTGTCTGTCCTCCGTCCGTCGGGGGTGAGTGTGCTCTTGGCACGGACGTCCTTGAGGATAGGCAAGAGGAGTTTGAGTGCTTTGCCGCTGCTGTACCTCATCTCGTGTCCATGCTAATTGCACCTGAGGGAGACCCGGATGCACTAGACATCCCGACCCCGCGCTCTTACGCTGAGGCGATCGCGGGTGAGTACTCCTCTGAATGGCAGTCAAGCATGGACGCAGAGATGGCATCCTGGAAGTCCACTGGCACTTACGTCGACGAGGTTCCCCCTCCTGGGGCGAACATCGTCAGTGGCATGTGGATTTTCAGGGTGAAGCGGCCGCCACGTTCTCCACCTGTCTTCAAGGCTCGTTACGTTGCTCGAGGCTTCAGTCAGCGAGAGGGAGTAGACTTCTTCCAGACCTTCTCCCCCACCCCGAAGATGACCACTCTTCGGGTGCTACTGCACGTTGCCGCTCAGCGTGACTACGAGCTTCACTCTCTTGAATTCAGCACAGCTTTCTTGCAGGGCAGCCTGCACGAGGAGATCTGGCTGCGTCGCCCTCCTGGCTTCACTGGGTCGTTCCCTCCTGGTACCCAGTGGAGCCTCCGGTGACCGGTCTACGGTCTCCGCCAGGCGCCACGTGAGTGGCACGACACACTGAGGACTACACTTGCGGCTCTTGGGTTCGCGCCTTCTACTGCTGACCCGTCGCTGTTTCTGCGCACCGACACTTCGCTGCCGCCGTTCTACATCCTCGTGTACGTCGACGACTTGGTCTTTGTCACTGCTGACACTGAGGCTCTCGCCCTGGTGAAGTCGGAGCTGCAGAAGAGACACACGTGCACAGACCTGGGTGAACTGCGCAGCTACCTTGGCTTGCAGATCACCCGGGACAGAGCACGCTGCACCAACACACTGACTCAGTCACACATGGTGCAGCAGGTCCTTCAGCGCTTCGGCTTCACCTGGTCCTCGGCACAGGCCACTCCTCTGGCTACAGGTCACTCGCTCTCAACTCCACCTTCGGACGAGTCCGTAGAGCCGAGTGGTCCTTACCCAGAGCTAGTTGGCTGCCTCATGTACCTGATGACTTGCACTCGTCCTGACCTAGCGTACCCTCTTGGCCTTCTGGCTCGCTACGTGGCTCCTGGTCGGCACCGAAAGGTGCACATGGATGCTGCTAAGAGGGTACTGCGCTACTTGTGCAGCACATCAGGCATGGGGCTCGTGCTTGGAGGGAGGAGCTCAGTTGTTCTCACTGGGCACTCAGACGCTTCTTGGGTTGACGACCAGGCTACTCAGCGGTCGTCACAGGGTTACACCTTCAGCCTTGGCTCTGGTTCAGTTTCTTGGCGTTCTACACGCTCGTCTTCAGTTCTCAGCTCCAGTTGTGAGGCTGAGATCTACGCCACAGCCATGGCTGCACAGGAGTTACGCAGGCTCACCTACCTGTCAGAATATAATGCTTGTCTAGCCTGCAGTGGGGTACTCTATAGCGAGTACAGCCCCTTAGGGTTTCCTATTTGTATCCACCTGCTTGCCAGTGAACCCCTCTCTTTTTGCCTAAACTTTCACTTGCCTAGCTAGGGTTTCACTAGCTATGGCTCCTCGTTCTAGCCACTATCTTAACATGGAATCAGAGCGGTCACGCTCCTGGCCTGTGGGACCACCTACGTCCGCTGCCCTACTCTGTGTCGCGCGCCCCGGAGCGCGCGACCTTCGATTTTTCATCCCGCCGCGCGCTCGGGGCGCGCGGCGGTTTTCTGCCCGCCGTGCGCCCCGAGGCGCGCGGCGGTTTCCTGCCTTGGGGACCCGCGCGCGTCCCCCGCCCTGCTCGTCGCGGCGCCCTGGGGAGCACGCGCGGCCCCCGCCCTGCTCGTCGCGGCGCCCTGGGGAGCGCGTGCGGCCCCCGCCCTGCTCGTCGCGGCGCCCTGGGGAGCGCGCGCGGCCCCCGCCCTGCTCGTCGCGGCGCCCTGGGGAGCACGCGCGGCCCCCGCCCTGCTCGTCGCGGCGCCCTGGGGAGCACACGCGGCCCCCGTCCTGCTCGTCGCGGCGCCCTGGGGAGCACGCGCGGCCCCCGCCCTGCTCGTCGCGGCGCCCTGGGGAGCGCAGGCGGCCCCCGCCCTGTTCGTCGCGGCGCCCTGGGGAGCCCGCGCGGCCCCCGCCCTGTTCGTCGCGGCGCCCTGGGGAGCACGCGCGGCCCCCGCCCTGCTCGTCGCGGCGCCCTTGGGAGCACACGCGGCCCCCGTCCTGCTTGTCGCGGCGCCCTGGGGAGCACGCGCGGCCCCCGCCCTGCTCGTCGCGGCGCCCTGGGGAGCCGCGCGCGCCCCCTGCCCGTCCGTCGCGGTGCCCTGGGGAGCCGCGCGCCCTTCCCCCCCCTCCTGCCCGTCCGTCGCGGCGCCCTGGGGAGCTGCGCGCCCCCCCCCCCCCCTCCCGCCCGTCCGTTTTGGCGCCCTGGGGTCGTGCGCCGTCCCCCTCGCCGTTCCCCGCGCTCCTGCCCCGTCCCACCCGTTTTAGGGTTGTGGGGGTGAGGAGTGTGGGGGTGGCGGTTGTGGGGGTGTCGGTTGTGAGTTACTCCCCTTGCTCCTCCTCCTCCCTGGTCTCCCACTGCTGCAGCTGCCGCTGAGGGGGGTGGTGTGTGGGAGCCTAGGGTTTAGGGTTTAAGGAGGGTGCCGTGGGAGTGGAGCTAGGGTTTGAGCAGGGGGTGTGTGTCGAGGGTGTGGGGCAGTTGGAGGAGGTTGTGTGAAGGTAGCTGTCGTGTCGCCTGCAGCGCCTGTAGTCCGTCGCCCTTACTTCGGTAGCCAGTGAGCCTGTTGCACCAGTCGCCAGTGGGTTCGTTGCTCCTGCCGCTCGTCTATAGTCGCGGAGCCAGTCACTCCAGTAGTCCGTCGCCCTTGCTTCGGTAGCCACTGAGTCAGCCGCTCCTGTGCCCGTGCCTCTGCAGCTTCAGTCGTTGCCTCCCATCTTCTCTCCCTCCACAGTTCCTCCTCCTCCTCACTTGCCCGCTGTGATTAACTCTAGCTTTGCTTACTATTGTGAACTCCTTCTCTATGCCTGCTTGGTCATTGTGCTGATTACACCCCACTTTGGCTATGGGGGTGTGTCAGAATGTTATTATCTAGCCTGTAGTGGGGTGCTCTATAGCGGGTACAACCCAGTTAGGGTTTACTATATGTATCCCAACTGCTGCTAGTGAACCCCTCTCTTTCTGCCTAAACTTTCACTTGCCTAGCTAGGGCTTACCCAGCTATGGCTCCTTGTTATGCCTACTATTCTCACACTACCTGCTGACTGACTTGGGAGAGCTGCCTCGTTCTCCTCCAGTGCTGTACGTCGACAACAAGGCTACCATTGCCTTGTGTGAGGAGCACAGACTGGAGCACAGAACGAAGCACATCGCTCTGCGTTACTTCCAGGCTCGAGAGTTGCAGCAGCGTGGTCAGCTTCGTCTGCGTTACGTGGCCACTCGGGCCAACACTGCTGATATATTCACAAAGGCACTTCAGTCTGGTGATCATCAGCGTTTCTGCACTATGCTAGGGCTTGTGCCCACCTTTCCTCACTTGCTGTAGGCTCGGCTTGTACTGTGATCTATATACATACCTGCATGCTTGCTTTGCTAGGTAGAGATCACTGTGCTGTTTGTGTTGCATATATGCCTCTGCATGTGAACTGGCCTTGTGGCCCTTTGCTTGTGCTCAGAGTGTGTGGTGACGTTGTGATCCACCCTGAGCTTGCTTTGCCTTTCTTGACTGGTCTTGTGACCCCTTGCTCTCCCCCACTTTGCCTATGGGGGTGTGTCAAATGTTATATCTGCTACAGTTTGTTTAGGCTGTAGTGGGGTGGTTACTATGGGGTACAGTAAGTTTAGGGTTTCCTACTTGTACCCAACTCTTTCCTAGTGCAATCACTCTTGTTGATTCTGACACGGTCGTTACAGGGTTACACTTTCAGTCTTGGCGCTGAATCTGTCTTCTATACTTAGTTCCAGCTGTGAAGCAAAGATCTACACTGTGGCTATGGCTGCGAAGGAGTTATGCTGGCTGACCTACTTGCTGATTGACTTGGGTCAGCGGCCTCGTTCTCCTCTAGTTCTGTATATCGACAACAAGGTCATGATTGCCTTGTGTCGGGAGCAGAGGCTGGAGCACAGAACGAAGCACATTGCTCTTTGTTACTTTCTCGCACGGGAGCTTCAGCAGCGTGGTCAGCTTCGCCTTGCTTGCGTGGCCTCAGAGGCACAGTGCTGATATCTTCACCAAGGCCTTTGGGTCTAGTGATCATCAACGCTTCTGCACTGCACTTTTTCTTGTGCCCACTCTGCCTCGCTTTTATCTCTTGATCTCACCTTGCCTTTGTTGTACACTACTATATATAATTATACCTGCATGCTTACACTTGCTAGGTTGTGATCAGTATACTGCTTTTGCTACTTGCATGTGAAATGGCCTTGTAGCCGCTTGCTTGTGCTCGGACTTCATGGTGATCTTGAGATCCACCCTGAGCTTTGCTTTGCTTGCGGTTCTTGACTGAACTTGTGACCATCTTGTTGTCCCCCACTTAGCCTATGGGGGTGTGTCAAATTGTAAATATGCTTGGTAGGCTATAGTGGGGCACACCATATGGGATACAACACATTCTAGGGTTAGCACTTGTATCCCAACCCTTGCTTGTTCAATCATTCCGCTATCATTAGTTTCTAACACATTGCCCGCTAGAACGCCGCCTCGACATCTCACCCTGTCCCGGAATCAACACTCGACCCTTAGAAAATTTGGGCGCATCGTGTTCGGATTGACGCCTCACGCCGCCACGTGGACTTTCTCTTCCGCTGGACAGACCGCATCCGTGACGACGATACCTGGGTGCTGTCCAGGGCCCAAAATTGGTCTAGGCCCACCCTGTCTAACAAGAGTTGAGCACTGTCTCACCCTGACTCCCTAGGGTAAAATTTTTGCTAGGCTGACGAATACAGTGTAAAAATTTTCCCAGCCTAATGGAATCAGTGTAATTTTTTTCAAAGACTGATTTGCACGGTAATACTTACGTTACACTGATTGTCCAATACAGCGAACGGTAACTAACTACTTAATTTTATTTGTAGCAACAGCAATGCTTCTCACATACAATGTTCATTTCACTCAGTACTAGGCAAGCTACTCGGCAAACCACCACTGTCGCCCACAAACTGGGTGTCGCTCTCCCAGGTCCCAATGAAGTCTGTGGTAGGGCGCCTGAGCTTCTCCCCCCTGAAAATCGCCACCACCTCGAACCAATCAATTTCATACAGGAGCAAGGAGCAGCGCATAAGATAGTCGATTCCGAGGCTACCCCGCATCGCCTTTGGTTTTCCCTTCGCCAAACCTGCACCCAACCTCGTACTCCCGAGGCTCCCGCTTAGCTAGGGTAGTCACTAAATTATCACGTGCATTCATTGTATTTGGAGTTCAGTTAGTCACAGCTTTGATATTCGTTTTCCGCGCAACTCTGTTTTACAAATCATAACTGCTAGTAGCTTGACATTTAGCCCCGCAAAGGGTTATCCTTGTCCAATCCGCTTTGCTATTCTCTCGGATTGCAATACAGTTGTTTTTCATACTACAACACGAAGTATAATTTTGCAACTGCATCTTGCCGACTGTCTGTTAGTGCGGATGAGGTCCATAATACAACACTACTACAATCCACCTACTGAGCTTACTTGACCAAGAATACATGCAACTACAGGAATTAGCCCCTCTGTGTCTGTTTCACCTTCCATTCCGCCAAAGCTAGCTCCATGCACACAGCCAAGAGGATAATAAGTTGTTGGGTGCACACCTGCATCCGCTACCCTCAATGCGTTCTCCCCATTCCCTGTCTTCTCACGAACCCCACTACCACTCAGCACTGTAGTGTCTGCCTTGAAGGCACCTTCGCCGCCCGCTGCCGCACGTTTCTCTGCGAGCCAGGCTGTCAGGTCGTGAACAGTGTCGATGTCCCTCAGGCGTGGCAGCGAATCCAGGGGCGCCACGTCAGTCACCCCATTGGTGTGGAGCGCTGAGAGTGACTGTGGCAGCACCCTGTCCGTGCTCCACTCTATGCCCTGATGGGGTATGGTGACGGGAAAGAGAGAGGAGATGAGAGCAGGAGGGGTGGCGAACAGGGTTGGAGAGAGGCAAGCATCGCGTCGGTGTGGAGAGCAGAGAGCGACTGCTGTAACACCCTGTCTGTGCTCTACTCTATGCCCTGATGGGGCCGGGGGATGAGAGAGAGAGGGAAAATGGCAGACATGAAAGATGGTGGCAGCATGTTGGTGTGGAGAGCAGAGAGTGACTGCTGCAGCACCCTGTCCGTGCTCCACTCTATGCCCTGATGGATTTGGTTGATGGGAGAGAGGGGGGATGGGAGAGAGGGGAAGAGCCAGGATGTGAGGTTGTGAACTGTGTCGATGTTCCTCAGGCACAGCAGGCAGCCATCCTGTTGGTGTGGTGTGGAGTGCAGTGAGCTACCTGCTGCTGCAGCACCCTGGCCGTGCTCCACTCGATTCCCTGATGGGGTATGATGGTGTGAGAGAAAGAGGGAGGAGCGAGGATGTCGGGTGAAAGAGTGGAGAGGAGAGATTGGAGTGGAGAAGGAGGGTTAAGAACAAAGGAAGACATTGAGTGACTGTTGCAGCACCCTAGTTCATGAAAATGGCACAAGCACCCTGTCCGTGCCCCACTCTATGCCCTGATGGTGTGGGGGGTATGATACCGAGGGTTAAGAGGGAGGGTGGCAGGAGGAAGAGTGATGAGGAGAAATTGGAGCCAGGACGAAGGGAGAAGTGCAAGAGAATGTAATTGAGTTGAGAGGGATGCAGACGATAGATTGGATACTGACACACGTGTATGCATGCATGTATGGAATAACAACGTGCATGTATGGAATAACAACGTGCATGTATGGAATAACAACGTGCATGTATGGAATGACAACACCACACATGGTCACATGCCCCACATACATGGTGACATGCCCCACACACATGGTGACATGCGCCACGTACATGGTGACATGCCCCACATACACGGTGACATTCCCCACATACATGGTGACATGCCCCACATACATGGTGACATGCCCCACATACACGGTGACATTCCCCACATACACGGTGACATTCCCCACATACATGGTGACATGCCCCACATACATGGTGACATGCCCCACATACACGGTGACATTCCCCACATACATGGTGGCATGCATCACTTACACTGAAGAGGCACGGCAGCACTGCGGTGAGGCCAAGGAGGTAATATCCGCCATCCAGGGCCGGCCCAAACACCACCTGGAAGGGAATCCATAGGCCGCAATAAATTAAGTGCCTTCCGAGAATTTTAAAAAAGATCAATTCGTTTCAAGAATTAAATTTCGCATGCAATTCTGGTCATCAAACACACCTCTCTAGCCCCCTCGCTCCCTCCGCCACACATCCCTCTTCCTGCTGGACAGATTTGTCACACCCTCCAGTCCTCCTCTCACCTGGTGGCGCTTAAGAACGGAGAGAGCAGCAGCAACTGTAGCACCATCCACATCAGGAATATCTGATCCAATCACCACAGCCTGCCATGCCATAGATGGAGTGTGGAAGGCAGGCAGAGAGACAAGCGGCATGCAATGGGGAAAAGGGAGAGCAGCAGCAACAATAGCGCCATCCATATCTGGGATGTACAATCTAATCCAATCACCACCACCTGTCATGGTGGAGTGTGTGGGGCAGAGACATGAGCAGCACGCAATGGTGGGTAGAGAGGGAACGGAAGTAGCAGTGGCACCATCCACATCAGGGATTTCTATTCAGCTAACCACCCCCCCACCACCTGGCATGGCGAAGAGTGTGAGGCAGAGAGACGATCGACATGCAATGAGGACGGAAAGAGAGCATCAGTGAGAATAGAGCCATCGATATCAGAATGTCAGTTCCGATCAGCACTGCCTGTCACAACGGAATAACGAGAATCTCTCGCCAAAGGGCGATAGCATGTACAGGTGAGGAGTGAAACTGTGGAAGCGACTTCTGTTCCTTCCAGTAATCTGTGTAAAAACGTCGAGGGTGATTTCTTGTTAATCTGTGTGTAACGAGTGGAAAGCAGGGAACACTGTTGAACTCCTGATTGAAAAATGCAAGCTGACTAATCTGCTGCTACTCACAGAATTTGATATGCTCTTACCCTGTGGTACCCCAGGCTCAGCACGTGCTGGAAGACTGCTTGCATGCGCGCCCCCACGTCTCCCCCCACCTGTATGGGGCTGCAAGGGATTAGGGTTTCAAGGTTAAGGGTTCGGGTTTAAGACGGTGGAAGGCTGCTTGCATGTGCACACCCACGTCTGCCCCCAACTGTATGGGGTGAAAATTTGGGTTAGGGTTCAAGGTTTTAGGGTTAGTTCATTTTTTGGGTGGTGGAAGGCTGCTTGCATGTGTGGCCCCACGCCTCCCCTCCCCCCACCTGCATGGATGGTGGCAGGGGAGCGATTGATGCACGCATGGAATTGACTATGGCATATGGGCGGCAGGCGTGTGTAGCATGTGGGAATGATGGTTGCGAAAGGTGTGAGCATGGGGTGTGAGCACGGGGTGTGAGCACTGTGCAAGAATAGGGTGCAAGAATAGGGTGTGAGAACGGGGTGTGAGAATGGGGTGTGAGAATGGGGTGTGAGAATGGAGTGTGAGAATGGGGTGAAATTGCAGAGCTGAGGTGAGGTGGAGAATTCACCTGAGGCACAAAGCGGAGGGAGTTGGAGGTTGGCAGCAGCTGCTGCATCCACCGTCTGATTTCGCCTTCATCCGACGGCTCAGAGAAGAAGATGAAGACATGCGTGGATGCCTGCCTGCCTGCCACACCACAGCCACGGCTCATCAGTACGAAGGATACAGCCATCTATGGCGCAGCAATGATTGCACTGAGCATGGGATAAGCCACAAGAATGCGGGAGCATCATCCGCAGACATGCACTCGCCGCGACCAAAAAATGTCTCCGAGTCACTCTTGAGAATTCTAAAAAGTGGCTCAGATGTAAATAGACTCAGCTGGAGGTCACGCTATAACAACCCCGTACTCGACAGAAGCCCTGCGCCTCGTTATATTCACGTACAGCTCGGGGCAGCGCACGAAATTGGTGACGACATGTTCGCAGCACGCGCGGTAGAAGTCGCACGCCGCCTCCGCCCCCACGCCGGCCGCCAGGCGCGTCTTCACGCGCCCCGGCGCCGGCCGCTTCACGAAAATCATCACCGCCTGCTGCGCGCCGAGCGGCTCCGTCGCTTCACTCCGCTCCACGTCCGATTCGCTCGCACCCAGTTTAGGGTCGCTCATTGTAGCGTCGCACACTCCAGAGTCGCTCAGTCGCTCAGGCTCGCTCTAGGAGAATCAGGAGGTTAAGGCGAATGAGAGAACGGCGATGTCTTGGGCCTAAAACGGCGATAGCGATTTTCTGGCTGCGGATGCTGCAGTCACGCTGTATAGATAGGCAATTGTTGCGAGAAGGATCGACAGACGGAGAGCTCAGCTGAGCTGACGTGTCGAATGGATACGAACGCGCGGGCGCCTTGTGATTTGGCGGCAAGTTTGAACAGACTGTGTCGGTCAACGGACCTGGAGGGGAAGGTTGACCAGCTTGGAGGGAAAAGGAAGGAAGACGCGAAAGGTTTGTTTGAGTGCGGTTCAGTGAGATGCTTTATGTTCTACAGACGTCAAACTTGATAATCAAATAAGTATTTCGTTGGAAAAGTATGTGCCAGCTACTATGTTAATGGAATTCTGATATAATCACAACTTTACACGAAGAGTGTGACTAGCGAGAGCAGTCGGTCCTGTTGCCAATCTAGCCATGTTCTTGAAGCAGCTCGTTCGCGAATGCGCCTCAAGATTTTTCCTAATCTCAAGATATAGGAGCTCCAAACACAGGTATGTGACTTAGGATAAATGACGACATTGATTAGTGGGGAGAAGGTGCAAGTAAAAATGTTGAGAGAAACCTATACCCTATTGTCAAAACAATTGCATATTAGTATCTAGGCTATATTGGGGCTAGCCTTAGGGGGTACAGAAACATTCTCGACACTCTAGTCTTGCACCCCAGCCTTGATCCAATGACACACAACTTCATGCCTAAGATTCTAAGATGGTATCTAGAGCCTAGAGGTCTCTAGGACCTAAGATGAGGGCCCACCGTTACCACGTTACCTCACCTGCCTTGCCTGCTGCCCGCGCGCGCCTCGGCTGCACGCGCGCGGCCCCTTTTTTTTTCCCGCGCGCGCCGCTTGAGCAGCCCCCGCGCTCTTCGTTTAGGCCCGTTTAGGCCCGTTTTCGGCCCCGCGCGCCACGTCAGCCGCCCGCGCAGCCTGCCGCCGGCCCGCGCGTCACGTAAGCCGCCCGCACGCAGCCCGCTTAGGCCCTGCGCGCCGCGTCCGCCGCCCGCGTAGCCCGTTTTCGGCCCCGCGCGCTACGTCACCCGCCCGCGCAGCCTGCCGCCGGCCCCACGCGTCACCTTCTCCGGTGACGGCGCGCTGCCCCCCCGTCGCCCGTCACGGCACCTGTGGGACCCACGCGCTGCCCTGCACCAGCTACGCCGCCCCTGGAGCGGCCGCCCCTAGCCCCTGAAGCAGCCGCCCCTGGTGCAGCCGCCCCTGGACCCTCGAGCAGCCGCCCCTGAACCCAGAGCAGCCGCCCCTGGCCCCTGAAGCAGCCGCCCCTGGTGCAGCCGCCCCTGGACCCTCGAGCAGCCGCCCCTGGACCCAGAGCAGCCGCCCCTGGCCCCTGAAGCAGCCGCCCCTGGTGCAGCCGCCCCTGGACCCTCGAGCAGCCGCCCCTGGACCCAGAGCAGCCGCCCCTGGCCCCTGAAGCAGCCGCCCCTGGTGCAGCCGCCCCTGGACCCTCGAGCAGCCGCCCCTGGACCCAGAGCAGCCGCCCCTGGCCCCTGCAGCAGCCGCCCCTGGCGCAGCTGCCCCTGGACCCCGAGCAGCCGCCCCGGGCCCCTGAAGCAGCCGCCCCTGGTGCAGCCGCCCCTGGACCCTCGAGCAGCCGCCCCTGGACCCAGAGCAGCCGCCCCTGGCTCCTGAAGCAGCCGCCCCTGGTGCAGCCACCCCTGGACCCTCGAGCAGCCGCCCCTGGACCCAGAGCAGCCGCCCCTGGCTCCTGAAGCAGCCGCCCCTGGTGCAGCCACCCCTGGACCCTCGAGCAGCCGCCCCTGGACCCAGAGCAGCCGGCCCTGGCCCCTGAAGCAGCCGCCCCTGGTGCAGCCGCCCCTGGACCCTCGAGCAGCCGCCCCTGGACCCAGAGCAGCCGCCCCTGGCCCCTGCAGCAGCCGCCCCTGGACCCCAAGCAGCCGCCCCGGGCCCCTGAAGCAGCCGCCCCTGGTGCAGCCGCCCCTGGACTCCGTGCAGCCGCCCCTGGACCCCGCGACGCCGCCCCTGGACCCGCGACGCCGCCCCTGGTCCCCGTGCAGCCGCCCGCCGAGCGCCGGCCCTGCTCGCCCGGCGAGCGCCTGCCCTTCCCGCCTGGTGAGCACCTGCCTTGTTAGCGCGCTGCCGCGCCATCTGCCTGCCTGCCTGCCTGCCAGCTTGCCTGCCTGCCTGCCTGTCTGCCTGCCTGCCTGCCAGCCTGCCTGCCTGCCTGCCTGTCTGCCTGCCTGCCTGCCTGCGTGCCTGCCCCACCTGTCCTGCCCGCGCTGCTACTTCTGCTCCTTCTGTTACTACTGCTAGGCTACTGCTACTACTACTGCTGCTACTGGCGGTGGCCAGATGCAGCTCCAGCGACATCCACGCGAGTCTCTCCCGCCCCAGCAGCTTCGTGAGTGGTACGCTAATTGGGGTTGTGGCGATAGCCGTCGTAGCTGTCGCCCTGGAGCTGGTCAGTTGGGAGCGTCTGGCAGTGGCCAGCTGCAGCTGCAGCGGCGTCCACGCGAGACACTTACTTCCCAGCAGCTTCACGAGTGGTACGCTCAGAGTAGAGGGTCTTTGAGTCCCGTTCGCTGCCCGTACGTCATTCGCACAGGTGATCGGGCTGGTCAGCCTTGTGGGACACCTGGTCACACACAGTCCCGCTGCTTCGCCCGTCTGAGCGACGCCTGGCGTACCGAGTTTGGCGACGAGGCTGAGCTCCCCACCTGGCTGGAGCTGCTTAGGCAGAGGGTAGATGTATTTGCTCTTGACTATGATGCTATTCTCACTGCCATGTATGCATTGCCTACTAGTGCTGACGGTGCCTGTTACCTGTGCGTACCGCCTGACCCAGGTATAGAGCCTGCTGCTCTAGGTGCTGGTGAGGCTACTGCCCTAGGTGCTGGTAAGGCTTCTGCTCTAGGTGCTGGTGAGTCTGCTCTCTCTGGTACTGCGCCTGCTGAGGCCTTTTACACCTTCACACTTGACTCCGGTGCTTCTCGCTCCTTCTTTCGCGACAGCACCACCCTCACGCCGCTCAGTCGGCCGGTTGCAGTCTCTCTGGCAGACCCCTCTGGGGGTCCAGTCCGTGCGACCTCCACCACTGTCCTCCCTTGTCCTGCTGTCCCGTCCGGCACACTGTCGCGTCTTTACCTCCCCTCGTTCTCTACGAACTTGGTGGCGGGTTCTGCGCTCCAGGACGCGGGTGTTCACCAGTTCACCCCTGCCTACGAGCATGTGACACACTGCACGTGTGCTCAGACGGGTCGTCACCTGGCTACCTTCACTCGGCAGCCGGGGTCGGGCTTGTACACACTGACCACTGAGTCCCCTCAGGTAGCTGCGTCTGCGTCTGCGTCAGGTCAGTTGTCGGCCCCCTGCTCGTGTCGCGCCTTGTCGCACCAGACCCTCATTTGGCACCACCGCCTTGGTCACCCCTCGGTGCAGCGCCTTCGCAGCATGCACCGCCGTGTCCTTGTCTCTGGTCTTCCCAGGGTTCTCCCTCCCCTCCCACCCTCGCCTGCTCCTCCCTGTCTTCCTTGTGTCGAGGGGCGGCAGCGCGCCGCTCCTCACTCCTCCTCGTTCCCTCCCACAGAGGCTCCCCTGCAGACTCTCCACCTGGACGTGTGAGGCCCAGCCCGCGTCCGTGGACAGGGCCACGAGCGGTACTTCCTGCTGGTCGTCGACGACTACACGCGTTACACCACGGTCTTCCCCTTGCGCACCAAGGGTGAGGTCCCTGATGTTTTGATCCCTTGGATCCGCGCTGCTCGTCTCCAGCTCCGCGAGCGGTTCGAGACGGAGTTTCCCGTCCTGCGTCCACTCTGACAGAGGTGGGGAGTTTTCGTCCGACCTCTTGGCAGCCTTCTGTGCGGAGCACGGCATCCGCCAGACATTCACGCTTCCGGCCTCTCCGCAGCAGAATGGGGTTGCTGAGCGCCGCATTGGCTTAGTCATGGAGGTCGCTCGTACCTCCATGATCCATGCGGCTGCCCCCCATTTTCTGTGGCCGTTTGCGGTCCGGTACGCCGCGCATCAGCTCAACCTCTGGCCCCGTGTCTCCTTGCCGGAGACCTCGCCCACACTGCTGTGGACGGGGAAGGTTGGCGATGCGTCGCGTTTCCGGGTCTAGGGTGCTCGTGCCTTTGTCCGCGATACCACCGCGGACAAGCTCTCCGCCCGCGCTGTTCCCTGTGTCTTTCTTGGCTTTGTCCTTGACGCGCCCGGTTGGCAGTTTTACCACCCCACCTCGCGCCGTGTCTTCCCCTCTCAGGACGTCACGTTCGACGAGTCGGTTCCCTTTTACCATCTCTTCCCCTACCGCACTGCCCCTCCCCCCCCCCCCCCCGCCGCTCTTCCTCGCTCCAGCTGCTCCCCAGGTAGACCCCCTCCCTGCTCCCTGTCCTGCTCCTTCAGGTGTGTCTCAGGTAGACCCTCCTCCCTTGCCTGCGCCGGTTGAGGTCACTGGTGACTCAGGTCCTGCTCGGGGTGCTGCTTCTGGGGGTGCGGAGCCTGGGGGTGCGGAGCCTGGGGGTGCGGAGACTGGAGGTGCAGAGCCTGGGCGTGAGGAGTCTGGGGGTGCTGAGCCTGGGGGTACTGAGTCTGGGGGTGCTGGACCTGGGGGCGCTGAGGCGTCTGGTGAGCAGTCTCCCTGGGGCGACCGTCTCCGTAGTCGCTCCGCTGGTACCTCGCCGCTGCACTCTCGTCGTCGACTCCCTCTCTCCCCACAGCAGCTGCGTGAGTGGTACGCTGACCGTCAGGGTTGCGCTGCTGGAGCTTGGGGCCCTGCTGCGGGAGGCGCTGGAGCTGGTGACTCTGCTACTGGAGTTGTTTCTGCTGGAGGTTCTGGGGCTGCTGAGGGTGCTGGAGCTGGAGTTTCTGGAGCTGCTGCGGGTGCTGGCGCTAGAGGTTCTGGAGCTGCTACGGGTGCTAGCG